ACACGCAAACACGCAAACACGCAAACACGCAAACACGCAAACACGCAAACACGCAAACACGCAAAACACGCAAACACGCAAACACGCAAACACGCAAACACGCAAACACGCAAACACGCAAACACGCAAACACGCAAACACGCAAACACGCAAACACGCAAACACGCAAACACGCAAACACGCAAACACGCAAACACGCAAACACGCAAACACGCAAACACGCAAACACGCAAACACGCAAACACGCAAACACGCAAACACGCAAACACGCAAACACGCAAACACGCAAACACGCAAACACGCAAACACGCAAACACGCAAACACGCAAACACGCAAACACGCAAACACGCAAACACGCAAACACGCAAACACGCAAACACGCAAACACAAACATACACACACTCAAACAAACAAGCAAGCATGCAAGCAAACAAACAAACAAAGAACCCAACCCAACCCAACCCAACCCAACCCAACCCAACCCAACCCAACCCAACCCAACCCAACCCAACCCAACCCAACCCACACCAAACCAGCCAACAAACATGATATCTCCTAGAAAACCTCGCCACATTCAGAGGACCTCGTGCCTTGCCAAACGGCACCCTCCAGCCTCAATCCTTTGAGATCCCACTGCAAAAACCTGATAGCCCCCTCCAGGAAAAAAAAAACACCCACACACACACCCACACACACCCACACACACACACACACCAAAAAACAAAAAAAAGAAAAGAAACAAAAAGAAGCTGTCGGCTAGCCAGGTGCCTGAGGATCCTGAGGCCTAGGCCAAAGCAACGCCGCCGATTACGTCCAACATCGACGCATCACTTTTCGCCCGGCCCTTGAAGCGGGGCGTCCGCGTGCTCCTTTACTCGAATGTCGCGAGCGAGTCGTAGGTCTGTTGCCAAGACCTGGGTGGTTAAAGGGCAAAACTGAACAGCTTCTCTGGTAGAATCGCGGGGTTTTGCCGTTTCGGCATGCCTGCTATAGCATCTGGGCCCCTTTGCTAAGGGCCTGCTCCCTTTGTGTTGACTCCGGATTGCCCATTTTGTCGTACAATGGTCTCAATGGTGTGGTCTGCTGTGCGCTCCATATAAGCTCCTTGATCCAGGCAAAGCCCCAAACGGCTCCTTCTTGCATCAACACAGCAACAGCCCTTGCCAACGCAGCGAAACACGAACTCTATGCAAACATCTGCATGTTGTAAGGCAGTTTTTTATTTTTCATACCAACAACTAGAGCGAGCGAACGGTGTGTCTTCGGCATATATTCGTTTACGTGTATAGTTGCCTGTACACGGATTGTATACATACATATATATATATATGTCTGTGTACGTCATATCCATATATCATGTATATTGGAGACCCCACTGTGGCCCTGCACCTTGTCGGCTTTGTGGACATCGCCGTTGACATTTCTACCATGACTGATGATAGACCATTGAATGGATGGATGAACTGGCGGATGAACAAGTGGCCGCCGAACACGACAAGCAGTCTCATGCTCACATGCAATCTGCAGAACCCTTTTGCAGGACATCTTGAAGGGTTTTGCCAGCATCCAGATCCGTCAATCTAGGGAGCTGCAGTCATTTAATTTAAAGTGTTCAACAACCATTGAAGCTGTTTGGGCCCCACAAACGATGAGGAAGCGAACGCGCAAATACAGGATATTGTTGGCATTGCGACTGTGGGATCAAAGAGCTTGAATGCTGGGTGCAGGTCCATGGAGGGGTACGATACAACATCAATGCATACATATTTGTGCCTCTGTCAAACAAGAAATTGGCAAGGACAACGCCATTCAAGGCCCTCAAGATTCCTTACATCGGCCGTTCTCAACCTGGACAAAGGGAAAGCCTTGCCAATCCTTGCAACCAGCAAACCGCCATGATGTTGATAGGAGCTCGTACACACGCAAACGCACACAAACACATCTGCCTACACAAACACCCACTTTTGCGCAGGCAGAAGAGCCCTCTGCCACACTTTTTGGCGTCTCTTGCCCGGTCCGCAGCACGCGATTCAGCAGCTTCTCGATGTAGCATGCTTCACCTTGTCGTGCACGGGTCCAAGATCAGCCGCGTCAGCGTTTATTGGTGCTGCCGCCTGCCAAAAACAATAATCAGCAGACCATCGTTGCAGCAAGGACAAACTTCAGTACTGGAATCACGACTTGAGTAGACACTCAAGAACCATCCCCAACGTGCGTTTTGAGAACCTGCCTTGAACACCAGGATGACTCTGCCTTGCCGGTGTTGACAGCAATCTCTCATGCCCAGAAGCCCAACCCTGGGATAACATGATCAGGATGCACCATACAGACTGGAATCCTCGTGGATGACAATGAACTCTCTAGGCCGCAGAGGGAATCTGACCCTGAATGGCATCACTAAGGCTTGAGGATCGCTTTGGCGAGTACCCAATGCCAGCAAAACCAATACATCCGCGGCTTCTACATGTAAAGTGCCTAACTTGTTTCCACAGTATCTTGTCTTCCGCACAGAGACAACTTATGGATACTTAGTGCCTTGCCCTGAATGTCTTTAGCCTTAGTTTGGACACCCATGGTGTTAGTCATAGCCCAGCTTCGAATTGCAGCTGCGGCGATGCTGATCCTTGGACGGCGCCCTGACCAGCTACACACCTCAGAACCTATCCCTTCGTCTCACATGAAAGCCATCACCATGGGTCCTCAGGCGAAACTCCCTCAACCGGGGTCATGGGCTGGGTCCGGGTTACCATTTTTCGAACCTTGGTTGCCGTTTCTCTGGTGGGTTCCATCTTGCAACGACAGGAGGGTGGTATCCCGGCAGATCCATCTCCCATTCGATGCCTCCATCACCCGCGAGAAGGCCTCTTGCCTTGTCACAGAAAGGATGGCGGTATCTGGGGGTGTCTGTTGTGGGGACCCCTTGTTTTGGTCGTAAAGGGAAACCAAAAGGAAACCCGAAACCAGCCACTGGCAACTGGCAAGTTTGGAAGACTTATTTCAATCTCACATTTTGCTTTATGAAGTCACCGCAAAAGCCACTCGTGAGGATTTTGTTTCTGGCCCCAACACAAGCAGGTTGTTCATGGTTTTGGGCCTGAGAATGGGCACCTCAGGAAATTTCGTCTTGCCATGAGAATGGATGCCAACAGTTTTGGGGTCCCCTAGAAAAAGGCACACTCGCTCATACTGTGGATGGTTGCGAATCCTGCAACACATGGTGTCCAGTTGGTGCAGGATTGCGTCCATCCACAGTATCACTTCTAAAGGGTGGGTCCAGGGTAGGGGCCAGTCGGCTGCCTGTAACAGCTCCGCTTATCGATCTGGTGGCGATAATACCCGTGGCATATACCTGGTAACCGGTTTTTGCTCTTGGAGCTGATGCCAAAATAAATATATTATATATTAATATATAATATATTAATATATATATATATATATATAACAGAGACAGACACACAGTCACACGCACACACACACACACATGTGTGAATTCAGGTAGTGCCAGGCCTGCACTGCTCCTTCTCGCCATCGGTACGGGTGCCTCGGTGTCTTCCGCTGCTCCCTTGAATGTTTTGGCATAGCACGCTAGTCATCTGAGGGTGTGTAAACTTGGTGGACTGAACATCCCAAGGGTGCTTTAGGGCAAGCTCTTGGCTTGAACTCAGGATGCCAACGTCCCTGCTTCGGCGCTTCCAAGCAGGCAAGTTGTTGAGATAGAGGCAAGCCTAGCTTTGCTTCCCAAGCGGACCAGTTAAGACATTGTCCACTTGGGTATATAAACCCATGACCAACAGCTCTGTGGCTCGAGACAAACTGTATCTGGGCTTGGACGGGCCAATCAATGACTTGATCAAACGGAAGCTGCCTCGAAGAGTTCACACAGGAATGACTCAGTCGCCCAAAGGACCTGGACATAAAAGGTGAACCTTTTGGGGCCATGACGAAAAATGGACCAACATGAGAAAACCAAAAGGTCAAAAGGTCGACCTTTGGGCAACTGAGATGATGCGGAACCAACTGAAAAAACTTCTATCTCCAGCTCAGGTCCTGGATTGCACTGAGCTCTGCGGCCGCCGGTGCTCGATTTGCCCTCGCGCACCGAGCGGGGCCCAGGAAACATGTTCAACACCAGTTGCTCCATCTACCAAGACGCGGATGTTCGTCACAAGCCACCAGAAGACAATGTGTTGGGAGAAGCCTCGCATGTCTATCGCGTGCCTGAACTCCGACTCGGAGCGCGAGTCGCAGTCCTTCTCGTTCTGGCATCGGAGAAAGGGTGCAAACAACTTGCAAGGCTTTGTAGATTTGCAAAGCATACTCATATGCATGGCAACTTTGATTTATCCCCTGAGGCACATGCAACCTATCCCCTTTCTGCTGGGGAAACATGCGGTTGGTTTGCCAGTGCACATGCGCCTCATGATTGAGCTTCCCTTCTGCTTCTGCCAGCAGCTCTGCAGCTTGCTTGGTCTCAGCGCGTTCGAGAGCACACCCAAAGAATCTCCAGCGAAGGCAAGAGCACTTGGTAATTTCAGGGGAGGTCTCCTCAGGACAACCGCGCAACTTTTTGAGACGAACATCATGCACGCATGCACAGCTGCAATCCCCTGCAGCCAATGCTCCCCTACTTGGGACTTTTGCTATAGGCATTTGCAACAAACTACATGGATCACAGTGATTTTATTTTTGGCAGCCAAACCACTTTCACCCACTTTCACACTTTCAATAGAATGGGTGCAGATTGCTGGCCAGTACCGTAAGCAGTTGACCCTCTGCCACAAACTTTCTGCAACCCACGGACATCGTCGGCAGTCGCAATCGGACAGCTGTGAGGCGCTTGTGATGGAGAACCCCAAGTCCTAACCCTCCCTGAAGCTACAATCATCCGCCACGCATGTATGCAAGCGTGTATATTATGTATAGATATTGCAATACATATGTATATATGTATATGTGTGTATAAATATAAGCATATATATATATATATATGTAATCCGGCAGCATGCAGCAAGCTTTGAGAATCTTTGCTGCCCTCAAATAGGCGTCCCCAGTCGCCACCCCCAAGCAGGTCGGCAGGTTTCTGCAAACGGCCTGGAGGTTGGCGAAGCCAAATGTGCGCTGCCGGGCTCGGACGGCTTGCCGGAGACTTTGCACCTCAGCTTTCGCCTGTTTCATGGGCGATTCGGCCCCGATCATGGAATCCAAAAAGAAGGTCACCAGAAGGGAGGTTCCTCAAAAAAAAGGACAAGTTTTGAGGTTTCATGCGAAATTGTAGGAGTGTAACCAAGGATGGATTGGCATGCTGGTGCAGCTCTTGTGCCTTGAAACATCGCATGGTGGAACAAAAAACATACTTTGTTTATTTTGCTACCTCCCTTTGAGATCGCTCAGGCAGCGATCTAAACTGCAAAGGTCGGGCTGCAACTTGCCTCATGACGTTCAGTCTTCAGCTCAGGCTCTTGCCGCCTTGGCGTGTTCTCCTATCAGCTGAAGCACCTGCGCCAAATTCACCGATAGCTACTGGTCATTTTGATCCGACCCGTTGGCAGTCGCCGACGTCTTTCAAAATGGATGGCATTTGTAGAACCCGCGAGCAAGAGTTGCCATGTGGTTTTTCCCAGCTGCGGATTTGGATCATGAGGGTGATTCAGCCAATCTTTAAAAGCAGCATGCCGCGCCTTTCCGCTAATAACAGCTTCCAACTTTTGAACAGTACTCACCATAGGTGTCCTTTTGGGAAAATAGACGGCCCTGGCAACTGACATTTTTAAAACCAATATAAACCAGTGCCATCTACTCTCAACCAAACCTAAAAAGGACACCTATGGTACTAACATACTTCAGCGCTCCCAGACGCACTCAAAGCGCGGCGCACCGATGCCATGGCAATGTCAGCCTGTGATGTATCCAGGCCCTGGCGAGAAGGGGGAGACACGTTTGGAGAAGCGAATCGGCTGTGGTTGTCAAAAGTACGGTAACCCCAAAATGGCTTGCCCTGGTGAATGGAAACCTGGACTAAAACCTGCGGTGCAACTCCTGGTAATTTAATCTTGACTCACCCAATCCTCGCAGGGGTAACCCTGCCAGAAGCCCGGATCAAGGCGCCAAAACACGGGCCGTGGGCTGTGGGCCCCGTCCCCAAAGCTGTTGGATTCAGAGGTCAAAGTCCGAGTGGAGGACCCCAGCAAGGGTCTTTTTGCCACCTTTTGGTGGAAAATGGCCGCCTTTGGCGGACAAAATGATCCACCTTTTTGTAGTGAGGGATTCCTTTTTGAGGAAGTCGCCAATTTTCTCACAGGAAAGGTGGCAAAAAGGTCGACCCCCTCAATGAACGAGTCACCCGCGCCATTGGGCCATGGCCACAGGTCCGTCCTCGCCAGAACATCTGGAATAGATCTCGCGGGCAGCCTGCGACATCCGCTCCATCCGCCGGTGTCTGAATGGCAAGCAGCATGGGGTTCTGTTCATGAGCTCACCACGCTGGCAGCCTATCTTTATGCCGTCTGGTGTTGTTCCATTTCTCGCCCTTAAATGTACAAATGCGGAACCCGAGGGATCCTTCACGGATTTGTTTTATTTCTGGAAGGCACCTACAGCAGGTTCCACATTTCCTCTTTCTTTTTGTTCCTGAAAAGATAGGGTCTGCTGAAATGGTCAAGGGTCTACCCTCCCACCAACTAACTGCACCAAACCATGTCGGTGGGAGGGCAACTCTTTGAGACGCTCCCATTCCAAAACGAAAACTCTCAATTCTTGGCGTGGCATTTGGCTGTGGTACCAACATGGCACCTCGGAAAATGGAACCCAAGACTAAAACCTGCAAAACGTAGCTCTTTCATTTGGAGCCACACTCAGCGAACATCCCAATCCAACCACTAAAATAGGTTCTAAAATGGGTGGTAAATTCACTTACCAATTAAAATGGTACCATTGGTTTTGACCCATGGCCATGTATTTGGTACTCAAAATAGGGAGCCACCGAAATAGGGAGCACCAAAATGACATCCCAAAACGGTTTTGACCACCGCCAATTTGCCTGCAAGCTCTCAATGGCCGACTTGTACTGGTGGAGCTCCCTCAGCAAGACCTGGGCTGAGCGATCCGCTCGGAGTTTTACGTGTGGCCCCGTCCTTTCTTTCTTCGGGAATCCCAAATTTCGGGGTTGGTTTAAAGAGGCACCAGAGGGATTTTCAGCCAAACTGGGGTTCCGCGATTTTGAGACACACCTACATGACTTTCCTTGGTCTGACACTTCTTTTGACCAACAAGTGAGGTGAGATCTCATGCAAAGATATACATTGATGAGAGTGACTGACTCACCAACGGGACGATGCAGGCTATCCCTTTCCAGCATGGATGGAGCCAACCGCTGCTCGCTCTACACGCTCTTCCCTCTAGAGTGGACGTGCACAAATTGGCTTGGCTAGAAACAGCATACTCGTTCGGCACCCCCAACAGACCATGGTTGGAACAAACAAGCATGAACTGCACACAGTGGCTCAAATGTCAACATTTACCCCAGCTTGACCCGATTTTGCACGGTCCTGTTGCTCCGAACAATCAAGGTCACTTTGGTCCAAGTGGGCAAAACCCTCTACAGAAACATAAGCAAAAAAAAACAGCACCCGCTGGCTGCTTGGCTCTACACTTCAAAATGGTTGTCGATCCAGGATGTGCGAACAGATCATGCGGAATTCAACAGGTGAACCGAACATGCAATGGCCATAGAGCTTGCCTCCTGCACCGAGACAACTCCAAGGCCAGGCAACAGTTGTGCCCTTCAACTATTGAGAACACACCATCTAACTTAAAATCAGGGAGTCTCAGCCACCGTTACAGCTGATTCGTTGAACAAATGAATCGTGCATCGCACAGGCAGGATTATTTAAGACAAAGGCTACAGTGATGTGTTATTTGAGGTACTCAACCTCCATGCCTGAAGCAGGCCGTGCCGCCAGGACGAAAGCAAGACAAACACAGCCACACACACACACACAGGTACTACATCACAATTGCATGGTCAAAACCTCAAAATGGGAATCGGAGCACCTTGGGTCCCATTCAAGCTCAGTTGGAATCTTGTCTCCTCAACATCCAGACCAATAGACTTGGCAATGATTGCTCCATTGCAAAGCAAGAACTATGCGCTCGCTGCCCTGGAACCGTTCCAGCTCTCAGCGCCGCGCAGCGACATTCCAATGCGCGTCCGCAATGGGCTTCTCGTCTCCGCATCGTTGCCTCACCTGCAGCCTCAATTCAGTCTCGCGACAGGTCAACTATGATCTGCACCAAGACACCAAGTAGTTCTACCCTCCGGCGAGCAATCCCAGTAAATGATTCCGTTTCTATCATGGAGATCTGTTGCTTCATTGACCTCCACTGGCCTATGAGAAAGCGGCCCTCAAGAATCTGTCTGGCCTGGGCTGCCCTCAGATCCCCACGCTAAAAGTTTTGCTTTTAGTGGGTTAAATGGACACTACCACTGAATTTGGCCAAGGCAGTGGCATCATCATGGTGTGGTGCAAGGCCTGCAGCAAAAGACGCAAGTCGTATCGCCGGCGTCAGCCAGAAAGACCAGCCACCAGCGGCACACATTCAGAGGAAAAATGCAGGGTAACCCTTTTTTCCAACCTTGGAACCTTTTTTTTCAACCTTAAGCTCTTTTTCCGACCTTGGTTCCTCTTTTTTTCACCTTGGAAGCTTCTTTTTTAACCCCGGGCGCAAAAGAAAAGCCCAAAGAAAAAGAGGTGGAGGACTCATCATCACCATCATCATCATCATCATCATCATCCTCATATCTGATTAATATAAAAGATAAAATTTGAAATTATTCGTTTTAATCATAATAAGTTCAATATATATATATAAATGTATATGTATATGTATATCGATATTTGTGTATATTCATGATTTCTAAGTTGATTTAAATATAATACTCTCAATTTCATATCATTATCCAACTATTGTATAAGGTTATATGACACTATCATACAGTTATATATGTTTTCACTATTAAAAATAGGATTAATACGGATATATATCTATACACATATTTTAACAAAACAATTCCATTCTAATCATGCAATTACAAAAAAACAATATACATATAAAAATTCTAAAGCTTAGTATTATTAGTAGTATTATTCAATTATTATTCTTTATTCACACAATACTTCTTCGTCCACAAATATTTTCCAAATACTATATATATACATATATAGATATACAGTCTTCGGGCACAAATATACAACCACTATTTATCAAAATAAATTCTTATACAAAACAATATGCAAACATTATTCATTCCCCAAACAGCGAAGCGTTGGGGTTCTAACTTGAGGTATAGAGAATAAGAAAGTGTGACGCCGATTCCGGGGTCAGGTGCCAGATGCTGTGACGCCGGCTCCGGGGTCGTGTCTCCCGCTTCTCTTTCTGTGTCTCCCTATCTCTGCGGTCAGATGCTGTGGCGCCGGCTCCGGGGTCGTGTCTCCCGCTTGTCTCCCTGTGTCTCCCAGTCTCTGCGGTCAGATGCCAGATGCTGTGACGCCGGCTCCGGGGTCGTGTGTCTCCCACTCGTCTCCCTGTCCCCCAGTTACCAGATGCTGTGGCGCTGGCTGCGGGGTTGTGTCTGCCGCTTGTCTCCCTGTGTCTCTGCGGTCGGATGCCAGCTGGCTGCGGGGTCGTGTCTCCCGCTTGTCTCCCTGTGCCTGTGTCTCCCAGTCTCTGCGGTCAGATGCCAGACGCTGGCTCCAGGGTGGTGTCTCCCGCCTGTCTCCCAGTCTCTGCAGTCAGATGCCAGATGCTCTTGTTGTGTGTCCCGCCTCCCGCTTGCTCCCTGTCTCCCAGTCTGTGCAGTCAGATGCCAGATGCTGTGACGCTGGCTGCGGGGTCGTGTCGTGTCTCCCGCGTGTCTCCCTGTGTCCTGCAAGGTCTCTCCGGTCAGATCCCAGACGCTGCGACGCTGGCTGCGGGGTCGTGTCTTGCACTTGTCTCCCTGTGTCTCCCAGTCTCCGCGGTCAGATGCCAGATGCTGTGACGCTGGCTCCAGGTCGTGTCTCCCGCTTGTCTCCCTCTTTCTCCCAGACGCTGGTTCTGGGTCTGTGGTCGGATGCCAGATGCTGGGACGCCGGCTCAGGTCTCCCGCTTGTCTCCCTGTGTCTCCCAGTCTCTGCGGTTGGCTGTTTGTTTAATGCTTACAGCCCTCAACAGGGTCCTGGGCAAAACCAACTGAAGTCTTCTTTGCGAGTTTTGGGGCTGACCTTGCTTGCAGCTGTCTTTTTTTCCTGCTTGCAGCCCTCAACAGGGAAAATAAAGGTCCCGGGCAAAACGTCCCGGGCAAAACCAACTGAACCTGTTTTTTCTTACCCAGTTTTGAGGCTGACCTGGCTTGCTTGGCATCCAGCAACCGGCGTTCGGCTCCCTTCGGCTCCCTTCGGCTCACGTGGCAGCAGCTTGCAAGCGCAATTGAGAAGCATCAAGCTAGAAACATAGATTCGACAAGTCAGCAGGAACCACTTGCAACAATGCTTCGCAACGGGGAAAGGGCATGTCGCAGATTTTGCTGTTAGCCTGTTTGCAAAGGATGTGCCTCTCTCTTGGCCAAGCGGGCGGTTGCTTGACCCAAGGTGGTGTGAGCTTTTGATCGTGCTGCACTGGTTGTGCTGGTGTTGGCACTGGAGCTGGCATTGGATCTGCTGCATCTGGAGCTGGCACTGGATCTGCCATTTCAGCTGGCGGCTCGTCTGACACTTCTGTCTTGACAGTTGGTGATGCTCTTGGCACTGGTCTTCACACTGATTGGTGATGTTGTGAGTGGTGGTGTGGGTGAGGCATCATCGATCTCTTCCTTTGGATTGATCAGGGATGCTGGGGCTGCACATGTCTTCTTCTTGTCGCCTGGCTTGGCCTGTGCCACGTGGCTTGGAGCGTCAGTTGGCGGAGCGTCTGCTGGGCTTGTTGGCGACTTCACCGGTGGAACCACGCTGGATGAGCCGGTGGTGGCTGGTCCTGGCCAATCATCTACCATGGCATCCAGTTGGGTCTTCCATTGGCTTGCCATAGCCAGGTACAGTTCGAATTGTTGTCTGGCGTGTGCCATTGGATCTGGCCTGATCTTCTTGGCAGGTGGATCTGTTGGTTCCATGGCGCGCTTCATGGCTGGCGATTCCTGATGGATAATATATCATGTACAATATGGCACGCTAATATTGCATGTATACACTACAATAGGTGTGTACTTGTGTGTGGTTGTGTGGTGTATCACTAGTTGCATGAAATAAATGTAATTGGACTACACATTCAAGATATGGACACATGTGGAAACAATGGTATATTCACATTATGAACCTAATCCATTATATAAATAATTCGGGGTGCAGAATCTGAACATGCTGTAAAATACAATCACTTTTAGGTTCAGAATCTGAATCTATTCTATGGTAGATACTATGTTAGGTTCAGAATCTGAATCTAGACTGTGTTTAAACATGAGTTAGGTTCAGAATCTGAACCTAGACTTTGTTTAGACATTAACTAGGTTCAGATTCTGAATATACTATGTTATGAAATATTGATGTTGATCACATGGTATTGAATTGTATTTACAGTAACCCACATTGAATTGTATGAACCTACTTGAATATCACACCAGAATTGAAATGTGTAACACATGACCAGCGTGATTTACTGCAAGTGAAATGTGTTGGTTCCATTGGTGACACCCATTACAATTTGAGCCACTCCAACACTCATTATGCATCAGACAATTACTCGTATGATCCAACCCAACTGCAGCTGATCAACATGATTGATTACACGATGTAGCCATATGGCCTGATGTATGTCAGGATTGTGTGCATGACATGCTGGAACGTTGTAGCCACACAGGCTTGACAATTCACAGCGCACTGCCCATGCCGAAAATGATTCATCACTGTATTGCCAGAAACAAGCTCACTCACATTGGTGGGCAATGTGGCACCAGACAATGTGTACTGCATCACGATAGCCTTGCAGATGGTTCGGGTGGCAATCAACTGGCATTGGTTCACCTCGATGATGTGGCGCCACAACGGCTTCCTCGGTAAGGCCAATGCTTTCTAGGATGCACACACACACGCACACACACACCACACTTAAATGTGTAAGGTGCAACTTACTTTTGGGATTGATAAGTACAATCATACAAGGATCCATGTTTCCCAGCCATTGGACTCGGTCTGGACATACCACAGTGTTGTGGTTTCCTTGGAATACCATGACTCAGTTCTGGCCCTTTGGCCTGGCATGAGACTGACCTATACAGTTGCTGTGTGTAGCTGCAATGGCTGCTGGTCAATCCAAATAAACACACAACCATGTCACATTTCATGCAAGCAAGCTGCATCGCATTTTTGTAATGTTTCCATAAACTGACTGTCGTACCTGTGTGTTTGCATGTGTGGCCACACATGCTGTGACAATGTCATGTGTAGCCAATAGGCCTGGTATGTGTAGCCAATAGGCCTGACATCAATGAACCAGGTAGCCAGCATGCTTATATTTATTGCAATCAGCTTTTTGTCTCACACCCAGCATGTCATAATTGGTCAGCTTTCCTTTTGTATGTTCTTTTGGGTGCATCTGTACACCCTTGAACACCTGGCCTCAAAAATTGTATGACAGCTGCCAGCTGAGTTGGCTCCATGAGCACTGTGAGGTCAGCCTTACTGGGCCTTTGGCCCTGGACCAAGGTTTTGACTTGGGTGCCATTGACATTAATCTGGACACAATAAGTGCCTTGTGGCACATGCTTTGTACTCGTTGAGGCATTTGCCCTCAGCGCACGAACTCATGGATGCATTCTTGGAAATCCTGGAGCCTGGAGCCTGCCACCAGTTTAATAATGGGCTGGCTGGTTGCCCTCATCTTGATGTAGGATTCTCCTTGGTGCTCTTGGACCAAGAACTCTGGAATTGCAATCCAGTTGTAGTCAGCATATATTTCCACTGACTTTCGAATTTGGATCTCCATGATCAGAGATGGCTGCTGGAGGGTTGGTGCAAAGCCTGTCATGTATGGATGCATGTGTGGGCATGCCAAGGCAACCATTGTAGCCTGTGGGCTTGACTTGCAATGCACAGGTTCATATGCATGTGCTACATGGAACAAACAATGCATGAACATATGTGTTGCGGACAGAGTAGTAGCCACCTGGCTGAAACTACATGGCACAGGCACAGGCTCATGCATGAGCCGCTGCACAACCAGTGGTGCCATTGCCTATAGAAATGCAATCACTTGTAGCACGCTTATTTTTCTTCAGCTTCCACCACATCTAGCCTGGCCATCTAGACTATACATTGGATAACTTGGCATCTCCATTTAATGCACACTCTGGGTGGTCCAATAGCCATGTTTTTTGTTCTTTGGTCAAAAAGTCCCATTCCAAAAACCACCCTTCTGGTGCAATGGCCGCAGCCTCATCTGATGGATTGTAGTCCTCCATAACTGAGCTGTCTGGCACACACCCTGGGAAAGGCTCATCTGG